AATGTATCTGTTTAACTATCTAGCATAGTTAAACCTAATCAAATGCATAACGTGTGGCTTTCGGCCAGCGTACTGAGAGACCTTGTTAACTCTCCAACTTATGTACTGAGAGTTTGTTAACTCTCCGGGTACTTCGTACCCCTGTGTGCTCCACACCATGTAACCCCGTTACATACCCTGTCCACAACAAGGAGCGCCTGGCAATGAAATATGCCCTTGTGAAGTTTCGTGTTCACCTTCTGGGCTCGCGGCCCTCCCTGATCTACACAGACCACGCATCCAGGAGAGGCGACCAATTCGCCTCACCTCTCCCAAAGGATGGCGATGTGGCTGTCCTTATTCGTGGAGTACAGCTTCCGCGTCGAGTACAAGCCGGGCAAGCTCAACGTGCTTGCGGACGCCCTCTCTCGGCGTCCTGATACGAGTTGGCCCACATCACACGGGTGACAACGGATCTATATGATCGGATACGCATGGCGTATCGGGACGATGAGGCTGTCGCGCCGATCGTTAAGTTCCTCACGGCAGGAACGAGCGCGAAGTCCGACTGGCTGTCGTCGCGACAGCGCTCACGGCTCCACCGATATGAGTTGAAGGATGACCTCCTCTACTACCGGGTGGATCCCAATGCACCTCCACGGGTGGTGGTACCCAACGACGAGGATCTGAAGTTCGATATCCTCGCGGAGGCGCACGACGCGCCCTCTAGTGGCCACTTGGGCCGCGAGAAGACCTTTCTGTCGGTCCTCCCTGGCCCTACTGAAGAGCTCACGTGAACAAGTAGGATAACCCCGATATGTTTAGACAAGTGAGACGAATATTAGCGAGAGAGAAGATACAAGATGATTCCTCTGGACTCTAAGAGAAACAGACCAGAAGCAGCTAGACATGTGCAATTCATATAGTGATTAACAAAATCGTAAGATAGTTCATCGCGACTGGGAAGATCAAGAACTGGGAATGTTGAGAAGCAATAGCCAGCTGTGTTACACCACATCCATAGTGCTGCGTACGCGACGCCTCCGCCGACACGGCCAGACTGCATAGCACACGCCGATTAGTTTTTTTTTATTGTTCT